AAAAAATTTTTTAATTGTAAATTTTAAAAAAATCTTAGCTCTACCACTGAGCTAAATCCCGGCCAAAAAAGTAATTTTAAAATAAGGAAGCCTGCTTGCTATGGTAGTGTACACCTGTAATGCCAGCACTCTGGGAGGCTGAAGTAGGAAGACCGGTCCGAGTTCAGAGCCACCCTGAACTACATACAGAGTGAGACCGCATCTCAAAAAACAACAACAGGGCCTCGATTCAGCTCAGTGCCGCCGCCTGCCTCGAAAGTGGAAGGACCGGAGTTCGATCCCCGGTACAAAAAACAAACAAAACAACAACAGGGCAGGGGATGTAGCTCTGGTTCTGCAGCCTGGCTTGCAAGCGCAAGGTCCATCCCCGGTACCTCCCCCCCCCAAAACAACAACAACAACAACAACAAAACTTTAAAAAATAAATAAATAAATAAAGCTGGGCATGGTGATGCAGGCCTGTAATCCCAGCACCCTGGGATGCTGAGGTAGGAGGATCACAAGTTTGAGCCAAGCCTGGACAATTAAATGAAATCCTGTGGCAAAATAAAAAATAAAAAAATGATCTAGAGATGTAGCTCAGTGTAAAAGCTTTAAATTCAATCCCTAGACTACCTCCCCACCCCGAAAAGTCAGATTCAGACCCTGAACCAGATGAGAATTGAGGACTGCAGGATAATGTTACACTTTGCAACTAGAATAAAATATTTGATCCAGGAGGCACAGAGTGAATCTTTGGCTAATTTTTGCCAGCTCTCTTGAATATTGGAAAGCTTACCATTCTGGTTCTTGTTGAAAAAAACGAATGTGGATTTTATTTTTAACTTTAAAAATTTTTTTTGGTACTGGGGATTGAACTCAGGACCTTGCTCTTGCAAGGCAGGTGGCAGAACCACTGAGCTAAATCCCTGGCCTGAATGTGGATTTTTAGATGGACCAGTAACTTAGCACTTACAAATCTTCCCAAGTAAACTTTCTCTTAGGTATCTTCTTTTTTTTTTTGGTACTGGAGATCCAACTCGGGTCCTTCTGCTTGCGAGGCAGGTGGCAGAACCACTGAGCTAAATCCCCGGCCCTCTCTTAGGTTATACTTGAGAAGGGTCAGTAATGACAAGGATGTAAGCACTCAGGAAACTGCAGGAATAATCCTGTAATCCACTAATCAACTTTTGCCTGCCGATAAAACTCAAAGGGCTGAGCCACTACAGGAAATATCAGTAAGTCTTGAAATAGCTAATGTGACCATTCCCTAAGCGCAGTATCAAGAGCAGTTACACTGGATTTAATGGTTTGTTTTTTTTTCTTTTCAAGAAGAGTGAAAATTGTCGGGCATGGTGGTCCACACCTGTAATCGCAGAGCTAGGGAGGCTGAGATAGGAGGATCACCATCAGCCAGCCTGGTCTACACTGTGAGACAATCTCAAAGAACCAAAAATAAGTAAGTAGTTCAACATTTTTTTTGTTTGGTACCGGGGATTGAACTCAGTACCTTGCGCTTGCCAGGCCAGCGCCAGAACCACTGAGCTAAATCCCAGGCAAAGAAAAAATTTTTAAAGGAGCTATAGCTTAGTGGTAGAACATGTGCATAACATGCATGGGCTTGGGTTCAATCACAGTACTGGGAAAAAAATAAAAAACTACAACAACCAAGAAGACTCCTCCTGTCCACGGGTCCTGCTCATGCTGGACCATGGGAGTTGGCCATCAGGGAAATGTGCACTGTGAATTGTGTTGTACCCCGAGGCTGAGGTCACACAGCCTGCTTGGATAGCCACTCTGCTGCCTCCCTGCTGCCCTAAGAACTTATGGAGAAGCTGTAAAGTCCCCAAACACAAAGTTAGAGGGAGTAAATGTTTACACAGCTAGTGGAGCTATTTACCAGCACGCCTCACAGATACCATTTTCAAATCAGGAATCAGGCAGGCAGGGTTTATAGAACTTGTCCTAAGGCACAAAGCAACCATTGGAAAGGGACCGCACGTGAGGAAGCTGAAGGCTGAACACAAGATGAACAACAGACCCAACAAATGACCAGCCTGGCCTCACCTTCAGGATCTGGCCTCTGGCCAAGCCAACAAAAAGGCAGCACCCACAGAACCAGAACTTGGGTTTTTCACTTCCACTGACAAACTGGTTTTATTCCCAAGTTTGCTTATCAAGAAATGCAGGGCCGGGGATTTAGCTCAGTGGTTTTGCCACCTGCTGCGCAAGCGCAAGGACCCGAGTTCGATCTCTGGTACCAAAAAAAAAAAAAAAAAGAAATGCAAAATTTTACGGGTTAACCTTAAAGACGGAAAGCTTTCATTTATAAATGAGTAGCACATTTCTGCACCTGGTATGGTATTGCCATGTAGAGCAACCAAAGGCTTAGCTGGATTACTTCACAATGGAGGATGAATCAGAGTCCAGGATCCTCCTCCAATAAATTCTTAACAAAAGAATCACAAAGGTTATTCCTAGGACCCCTTTCAGCTCCTATGACTATTTTACTTGCCTCCTGCTAAATTAGCTTTTCCTAACTCATCTCTCAGTGTAAAGTCAAGTCATTTGGAAAATGGGCTGCATGGGAGAAATCTTGGCCAGAGCTCCCAGAGGTCTCTAAGCAGTGAGCTGAGGTTTCCATGCACCCGGTCTAGCTGGTCCCAATGTGAAGTTAACGTGCCAAAATCAAACTACAGGATGGATCAAGTCCACCCAAGCTTCAGTTAACAGAAAATGGTTCAAATTTTGGAAGAGGAACCATAGTTGATGTTCAATCTATTTTTGAGATCTTTCTGAGAATATCTGAAGGATGGACAGAGAAAATGGTAGAAGCTACGGAGTTATCACTCAATTTATGAAAACAACTTTATTTTTGGGGGTACCAGGGTCCTTGCGCTTGCGCAGCAGGCGGCGAAACCACGGAGCTAAATCCCCAGCCAAAAACGACTTTATTAACAGGAAGGGAAGCACATCAATTGCAGAGACTCAAGGTTCTTGCTCTTAGGGCCAAAGGCTTAGGAATGATTTAACATTTGTGGCTGGTAACAGGTTCATCGCAAGATACCCAGCGAAGCTCCCTGCCCAGGCACTGTCCTTCTTTTTTTTCCTTACTCCTTTTTCCGGTCCTGGGATCCGACCCAGGACTTTGAGACGCCGGGCAGACCTACATCCCCAGGATGCCGTCCTCCTTGAGGGCCTCCTTGGACATAGCTTTAACGGACACGGTGGCGACAAAACTATTTCTGAAGACATCCCTGAGCCACAGGCCTCTCTAGGCTAGATTTCAAACAGGAGGAACAAAATGGTTTACTCTGCAACTCAATGCGCTCGCTTCACAGCAAGCTTCCCTCACGGCGAAGCCAGCACAGCGGTGACAAGGCCGAGCTGACTGTCGCCGCGGGTCCCCCCTTGACGCCACAACACGAAGTCGATCGGATCTCCCGGGCTGCTCGAAGCTTCCGGACCGACGGATGAGGGGCCCCAGTGACAACGGCCCCACTGTTTAGTTTGTGAAACAAAGTTCTCTAAACCGGGAAGATGTTACAGCCTCCCCAACGCGATACCGGACTCGTTTTCCCTGGGCTGCCACTGCTGGGAAAGTTTCAGTAAAAGTTAGGGCTCGGGATTCACAGTGATACAGGTGTCCCCGAAACCTCCTCTGGGCCTCTCCGTGTCCACTCGGGCTGCGGAATGCAGGGCCGGTCCTCGGGCAATTCCCGGGGCCGCACCCAGGGCCCCGCGCGGAGAGGATGGCAGCGCTCGGCCCGGAACCCGCGCCCCGTGAGTAGCGAGGCCCGTCCAGGCCGCCCCACCGGGGAGCGGGCGCCGCCCTCACAGAGGGAGGCGGAGGGGCTGCCGGGCCACGGAACGGGAGGGCCGAGCCCCGGGACGCCTGCCCCGCCCCGCCCCGGCCTCCCGCGCTCGGGCCAGGTCTCACAGAGCAGCGAGTCCCTCCGCGGCCTCTCCCAGCTCAAGATGGCGGCGACAGGCGGCACTCCGTCGCCTCCGCCGCCGAGATCCCTCCGCGCAGGCCCCGCCCCCCCGGCCTACTTCGTGTCCACGAAGACGCACGCCTCCAATTGGAGGGGCGGACCCACCTTGCTCAGCCTAGCTAATCACGGACATAATTCAGAATATTAACAGGCGCTATGACCAATCAATGCAAGCAGCGGGAAAGGCGGTCCGCCGCCCGCACAAGGACCCATGGGGCTTGGAGTCCCGAACTTGTAGTGGCCGAGCCGAGCCCTGGGTCGCCTCCGCCCCGGAAGGACTACAATTCCCGGCCAGACCGCGCGGCGCCGTCACCCCCTGCGGTTTTGAACTGTTGCGGCTGTAGCCAGAGGCCCGGCTGAGACGAGGGCACTGACTAGAAAGGCAGTCGGGGGTAGTTGTGTGCGTGCCTTTGACAACACCTAGGTCCCACCTTTGCACAGCGTCCCCGCCTGCTGCCGCCCCTCGTGGAGGAAATCCGTTCCGCTCGGCCGGCTTCCCGCCCAGGCGGCCTGGGGTGCGAAGGCTTCGTTTTCCCATTCCCGCTGCTTCCGGTCCTGATGGAGGGAGGCGGGCGAAGGGCCCGGGGCCTTCGGCAGCGGAAGAGGCCGCTGAGCGGGCGAGCCCCATGGTGGTGGCCTGTAGGAGCTGCAGACCCACTCGCTCCGGCCTCCCTTGCAGGCCCCGACCCCTTGGGACTTTGCGCGGCAAAGGTCAGGCCCGCCATCACCCCAGCCCAGGCCTAGTAGCTTCCAGGAGGCGCGTGCGGGACAGAGGCCCTGCCGGGAAGCTGGCCCCCAGCCCCATGCAGTCCTGCCTGTTGGAGGTGTGGAAACGGCTCGGGCGCTTGGGGACCTCGTGGAAATGAGCACAGCTCTGGTGTTACAAGGTGGCGGCCCTCCTGGGCAGCGGGTTTCCTCCTGAGAACTGGCCTTCAAGACTTACGTGTCTGTTGTCGGTCAGAACAGGTGTTAGGCTCAAAAGCTACTACGGGGAGATTGGGACAGAGTCCCACAGAGTCAGCATCAGCTTTGGAGGTCAAGGTAAGGTCACACCAGCCACCTGGGTGCCCCGCACATGGCGCCCTCCTGCGAGGACTGACTTCCTGTCTGACACCCGTTGGTAGAGTTGGGAAACTAGTATTTTAAATGAGTCTCTACTGTGCTCTGGGCAACAGGCCAGATTCTAAAGCTATGACATCGCATGAACGCCTGGTAACCCTTCCAGGTAGGAATTATTTCCACTTAACAGAAACCGAGGTTCTGAGGGCTGAAGTAGCTTTCGCAGAATCATGGCACCTACACACTACAGACCAGGGCTTACACCCAGGGCCTCCTGTTTCGAGGGCACCAGAACTTGCCTTGATCTCAACCACAAACAACTTGGTTGAATATTTGCTTTTTGTCCAGGGTGAAAGCCCAGTCTGAAGTAGGAAAGAGTTTGGGTCAAAATTTAGGATGAGATGGTAGGTAGGATATAACCCTCCGAGAATGCTGTCCCTTCCTGCCCCATACCCATTCTCCTGTCGGGCCCACAGCCATGGATCAGAGGGCTGGAGGTCAGAGAAGCTTCTGAGGCCCCCTGCCCAGCCCCATGCAGTGTTCCTTGGGTTTGGTTAATTGGGAGTTCAAGACATGTCAGGGCTAGAAGGTTCAGAGAAAGCAAGGGACTCACCTAGCTTATCTGTGATAGTCACGTAGTGGCAGAGGACAAAGCCCTGGGGAGAGAGGTCACATCGGGGTTGGGGGAGGAATCAGCAGGGGACATGGACTCAAGCTGGGAGTGGGGAATAATCCACACATAGGCCACCCTGCTGTGCCACCCCACTGGCCTTGCCTCTGGGTGGGGCAGCAGATCTGCCTCAGTGGGCCCACACTCCTCACTGCTGCCGGCAAGGCTTGGATGCATGAGTGGTGATCTCGTAGGTGAGATACCTCCCCCAGCACACACACAGTCACACTCCAAATACTCCTCCCTGAAGTTTTCCTCCACATGTCCTTTGCTTGGAGGAGCCTGTGCTTACCTCTCAGAACCATGTGTTTATAAAACAGCATGCTGGCAGTGGTGCTAATTAGAAGTCCCCAGACCACAAATGCAGAGCAGTTTGTCCCTGGTCCTTCTACCACCTGCACAGCAGGGGCGATGCCCAAGTGCACACGTGCTCTTGACAGATGCTTTCCACCTCTACAGGGTGGCGTCAGCCCTTCTTCCCCTGGATGGACCACTTTTTCCACCTGTGGAGAGGAGTGACACAACTTGCACCTTGGGTGAACAGTCCTTTAGCCTAGAGGACAGACAGCATTGAGTCTCTCTCTGGTACCTCTTGGAGGCCACAACCCTAGCTTTAGGTCCTCTGGTGGATGAGCACCAAGTGAGGAGGACTTGCCCTAGCTGTGCTGAGTGGAGGACAGATGGCTCGTGGTGATGTGCTGAGTCTAGTTGTCTGTGTGACATAGTGACAGTCCCTGGGGGGAGGTGGAGGGCTTCCCAGAGAGGTGACCAGAACTAAGCCCTGAGGATGAGAAGAGTCCTGGAAGCGGGAGTGGCTGTCCTTGTTCAGGAGCCACTGGGAAGCCCAGGATGGGACAGCAGTGCACCAAGCAAGTGTGGGGCCTTTCTGAGTGTGGCTGTCTGTCGGTTCTGGTTCACAGTGGCTCTTTTTTGTTTTTTTTCCTTTGCTTTTGGTACCAGGGCTCGAACCCAGGACCTTGCACTTGGAGGCAGCTGCGGTGCCACTGAGCTACACCCCTGGCAGGGCTCTTGCTCTGTGTTGCAAGACAGGCTTTCCAGGGAGTAAACAGCAAGCACCACTGGGACTTTGCTCAAGTTTGGGTCTTTGTTGTCTTTATTTTTTTGAGGCACGGTCTCACTATGTAGCTTTGAACTCACTGTGTAGCCCAGTCTGTCCTCAAACTTGTGGTGATCCTCCTGCCTCAGTCTCCCAGGTGCTGAGATTATAGGTGTGTACCACTATGGCCAGCTGTGTTTTTTTGAGTAGGGTCTCACTATGTAGTTCAGGTTGGCCTTGAACTCGATATCTAGCCCAGGTTGATTTTGCAACTAGGATCGTCCCTGTCTCAGCCTCCTGCAGGCTGAGATTACAGGCCTGGGCTACCATGCTCTGCCCCTTTAGGCTTCGGATCAGGCAGGTACATCAGGAGCTGGCATCCACCCCAGGTTGCCCCTTCTTCATTTGAACGGTGTATATAGGTAAGTAGTCAGTCACTCATGGGCACCTCCTCTGTGCAGGCGTTGTCCTGGGCACTGAAATTACCGTGGGCTCCTCGGGATGCGCCTCCCTGGCTGTACTTCTGCCTGGTGAGGGTTGGGGGATGCAAAGTCTGAGTGTGTCAGGGAGGGGTGACCCCCCCCGCTCTGTGACCCAGGGCCCTCCCCTGTCTGCACCTCTCATGCTCCAAGCCTCAGGACTGCCACTGTCCCTGCTGCTAATACCCTGAAATTAGAGCCCCGTAGCGAGTGAGACCTTGCCCAGGCTGGGAGTGGCGTCCACTGGTGAGGTGGGTGAGCCTGGGCTGCCTGGAGCTGAGCTGGACTGAGGGGCAGGGCCTGGTGCCTCCTGCGTGTGCTAGGAGATAGTGGCCCAGGCCAGCCCTCAGCACCCTATACCACCATCCAGTTCCTGGCGAAGGGTCTCGCTGTGCCCCCGGCGAGTGCCACCCTGGCTCCAGTGGGAAGGGTCAGGCTGAGCCCAGGGTGAGTCCCACAGAGCCCTCTGAGCACTGCTTCCCAAGAGCCGCAGGGCCACAGCGAGCAGGTGCTGGTGGGAGGCCACCTGGACTTGGAGAGGCCTCCCAGGTTCAGAGGCGCTGTGTCCTCAGCAAGAGAACAAGTCTCAGAGCTGGGAGGGCCACCGCAGCCAGGGCCAACGCACAGGTGGACATGCTGGTGCTCCGAGATGGCTGGCAGAGGGCACCTCTTAGGACCTGTCCCTCCCTACAGCAGAGGCAACCCCACACTCATTTCCACATCAGGGTCTCGGATGTCATCTTCCTTTGCTTTCACGGAGAAGTTAAATAGTCACAGTGGAGCCTGAGGGGATGGCTAGGATTGCCTTCACCAGGGTGTCCTGGAATCAGCCTGGGAAGAGCAGCGGGCCCCTAGGGGGCCTTGGTGGGGTCCCCAGGGTGCCAGGACGCAGGAGGAGCATGGGCCACAGCCCCAGGTTTGCTGGGTGCTGCAGATGCTGGGTGGCTGAGGGAGCAGGGAGCTCCAAGACTTATCCCGGCCCCTGTGCACTCCATGCAGGGCAGCTTAGGTCCCCAGTGGAGTGGGCCTGCCCCCAGCCCACCCTAGCAAGGTTGGCCCTGAGGTTAGTCATTCCATTTCCCCCTCCGCCTCCAGGGAGGCCATCGAGGAGTGTACTTGGCCAGGCGTGTTGACACAAGCCTGTCATTCCAGCACTCTGGGAGGCTGAGGCAAGAGGGTCACAGGTTTGGGCCCAGCCGAGGCAATTTAGTGACTTAGCAAGAAAATAGCAAAAACCGCTGGGGATGGAGCTCAGTGGGAAGACCTAGGCTTTATCCCTGGTTCCAGATACACACACACTCTCTCTCTCTCTCTCTCTCTCTCTCTCTCTCTCTCTCTCTCTCACTCGAGGGAAGGAAGGAGGACAGGGAGCTGGGCCCCTGGGGCCTGCAGTGCCTCCCACACCCTGCTCCTCCCGGCCCTTTCCATGCTGGTCACTGTGCTCTGAGGGGACCTCTCGTGGCCCCAGGGTGTGGGAGGCAGGGCCTGGGAGGGGGGTCCAGGCTCCTGGGCGGTGAGCCAGGCCGGGTGAGCCAGGCTGGGTGAGCGGGCGGGAGCTGCAGGATGGAACTGCTGCCCGAGTGAGTGTTGCCAGGACAGCTTTTATTCTGCTGGCCACACCCAGGCCTAGGGAGCAGCTTCTAGGAAAGGGCGGTTTCCAGGGAGCACTGCCCCCCAGCCCTGCCTGGCCTGCAGCTCCTGCCTGACCTGTCCCTGTCCCCACCAGCACACGGGAAGCCCAAGACTCACAGAGGGAGCCCCGAGGTCCCCAAGCCTGGAGCCTAGGGCAGGGAGGCTACACGGGTTGTTTACTCGAAGGCAGGGTGTGTGCGTGCTCCTGACCAGGACGGGAGAAGACTCGCTGTGGGGTGGGCCCGGGGGCTGCCCAGAGGGGAGGGGGTGTTTGGCCTTTTGGGCTGTGCAGCTGAGCGCCTGGGGAGGGAGAAAAGCCCCCCATGAGGCTTTGGGGCTGAGGGCTGGGAAGGGGGTTGAGTGGGGGCATGGGCGGGGTGCAGCAAAACATGAGTTGAGTGTGCAGGGCTGGAGGGGTGTCTGGGCGGGCCCGGGGGGTCCCTGCCCCATCTTTCCCTGCCCTGGCTCAAGCCAGGTGAGGGGTGAGGGGCTTCCTGCTCCCTCTGGCGGTGGCCTGGTGTTGACTTCACTCCTGTGATGCAGAATGCCCTGGGCCAGACCAGCCAGACCCACCACTGCCCAGGCCCTCAGGCTTGCTTTCCTGGGCCCCTGGCACCCAGGACTCCTTTTCCCTGGCAGGGACCCCCCCCAACCTCGGACCCTGCCTGCAGTTTGGTGGAGGAGCCAGTGGAAGTGGAGGCGGGACAGGCATGTGGGGAGGCAGCCCTGTCCCATAGCCCCTGCTGGGAGCCAAAGGGTGGCGCTGGCCCTTTAAGTGGGGGTGCCAGGCAGTGCCCTCCCTGCCAGTCCCTTTCAGCCACACTGAGCATGTGCAGAGCTGTACAGCAGGGTGGGGTGGGGGTGTCTCACCCTGGCTTCCAGGCCTGCATCCACTCCTGGGTCACCACAGGCCTGGGGTTTGGGTGCTGCCCACTAGGGATGCTGGCCAGGCCCAGCCCTGGAGCTCCCGCTACCTCTGCCAACCTCACTTTCCAAGGGGGTGCAGGCTAAGCATCCTGATCATCTTGTTGCTTGGTGTGGCCCAGTTCATCCCCTTGGAGCCAGGCGTTTCGGACTGGGGTGGGGAGGGGCTGCCAGCCTGAATACCCAGTGCTGGGGGAAGCCTAGACCACCTTCCCACCCC